AATGAAAAAAAAAGAAACACTTACAACACTTTTTGCGAAAATTTTTTTCTTTTACGTTACTAAAATATATTTAGCCTTTCACGCGAATCGCAGATAAACCAAGTTGCTTATTTAGCTTTCTTTTTTTTATGCCAATTGTGACCCTGCTGAGTAGCGGTCGCACGAATATTAGTACGTCCCCCCCTGCACGTTTTTCAAAATGGTAAGTGGGAGCGTTCCAGAGAGGATAAAACGGAAACACCACGTGGCATGTATTCATATAGATATACATATATGTTTCCATGTATGCATGTACTTACGGATGCATATCTGTATACAATGTACTGCGCGCCGCGTGCAACCATGCGTGACTACTTAAAATGAAGCGAGGAGGAATTGAGGGGCCGCTCCACCACCGCGACAGGAGCGTGTCCCTCGTTGTACTTATGCGTGTAGGCGCACCATCATATATTTCTTCCCCATGTGGACATATCTTTTTATGCACCTACCCACTGTTGCCCCTCGCAGGGATCCATTAAAAGCTTCAGACTAAAACAAAAATTGGGGAAATGCAGGAAGAAAAATAGGCCAGTTCCCCACTGGTACAGGCTGAGAAAGGACACAAAAATTAGGTAACGCAAAAGCGCACCTTCTATTTTTTCAATAGGGCAGCATGCAGGCGGCAATTCGGACACGTGTGCGCACATTGGTGACCTTCACGGGTGTAGTGTTATCCGTGATATTCTCGTTCTCTCTCCCCATCCCCCCTTTTTTTAGATATAACACGAAAAGAAGACACTGGCGACGAACAAAATTGGGACTTTAACGGATCTGCGGATGGTGTTCTCCTTTTCTTGGCATGACGACATGAATGGAAATTTTATCGAGGGAGAGGAGGAGGGTGCTGGAATTCCTTTCAAAGAGAAAACCTTTTTCCACCCCATCATTCTTGCAAAGTTGCGTTTTTGCTGATTAGCAATTTGTACCTTTTTTCATTTCGCTCCCCTACGCACTGTGCTTTTTCTTTTTTTTCTTTTTTTTTTTTAACATAAACGGTTAAAATGTATATTTAACGCAGAACTTGAAAAAAGGGAAACGATAAATTATATACCGCTTACTGCATGACACGTGAAAAAGAACGTCCGTGTGGAAAAGGAGGGTGTTCCGAAGCCTTAACTGGACGATCGAAAGGAAAGGAGAGGAGTATTTATATGTCTTCGTTAACGGTTGTGCGCCAAGCCCCTGCGAAGTTGGCTCATCTTTTATCGCCTCAGTGGTAAGAATATATTCTCCCGCAGTATGCGTCACTTTAGTTGAATTTTTTTTCCTCATGTGAGGAAAAAGTAAAAAGAAAAACTTAATCGCAGCGAGAGGCTCTTATGTGTACAGCTGAGTAGCAGACAAATTGGACAATTTTTTAAAAACACGTCCGTCGTGGGTGGGTCTGACCATGCACAATTTACGCAAGAATGTTGCCTTCCACTGGTGTGCTTCCCTTGGTTTGTTTAATATGTGCCCAAATTGGGCTAGCAGGCCTAGATCGAAAATTGCGAATTGTCCGGAGTAAACGCGAGCGTAGGAATTACGTTCACGCATATGTATATGCGCATGTGCATATGCCAGTATGATCATAGTACTCCCTAAAAAACATTCCTGCGAAGGCAACACATCACTGAAAACGCGAAACCCATATGAAAGTTCCGACGGCACTGAATTTCCACCCCGCCCCCCCCTTTGTTGCGTAAAGCATTAATTCAGATCTGCTTCGTGTTGCTAATTATTTGTCCTCATTTTTCGCGTTCTCTTTTTTGGAAGTTGGGAGTTATATCACTGTGCCATTTGTGCATGGTCACATGTGTACAATATGCAATGCGAATTTGCATATATGCGTACGCGTATGCGCACTTGTACGTTTTTTCTCACACCCTGCACACGTACACACGTGCCAAAAAAAAAAAAAATAAAATAAAATAAAAAATTCTAATCATATTCCAAAACGATAATCTCACCATTTTGCTCTTAAACAAAAACACGAAGAGAGCATCTTCGGCCATTTTATGCAAAAAGAGGAAAGTATTTTTTTGTACAAGCGAATTTTTTCCTTTACACTTTTGTCTAAATTTTTTTAAAATTGTATGCGTATTTACGAAGCTTAACAGCTTCCCCGCTCCTTTGTTACGTCGATAATTTGTCCTTTATTTTTTCCCTCCTTCTTTTGGGAACAACACAACTGCAACGATGGTAAAAAGCGCAAGCAAAAACAATGACACGGAAATGGATGACCTCTCAGTCAACATAAACAACAGCAACGATTTTAACAGAGTCCTAAACGAAATTAAGTTAAAAGAATTTCATCATGAAAAATCAAAAAGGAGAAAGGACATCAAAAGTAAGTTAAAGCTAAAAAATGTCAACGATGTCGAAAATGACATAGTAATCTTAAACTCGCAGTCGGACAAAGGCACAAAGAAGAAAAGGATTCTTAGCAAAAATAAATCGAAAGAAAAATTGCTGCAAAATGATGTGAGTTCAATGAACACGCAAAACGCAATGGACGCGCAAAACCCAATCGACACACAAAACAGCCATTTGTACGACACGCCCGTTTTCCCGCAAATCACCTCCCTAATTCTCTACCATGAAAAAGAAAACAACAACTCGGAATCCTCCAGCAGCATCAAAAATGCAATAAACGAAAAAATAAAAAAGCACAACTCGAATCATCAAATCGAGAAACATACCATATATGATATCTACGCAAAGACGTTAAAAAAATTGTCAATTGAAGACGAAAGTGACGTCTTAAAAGAAAGTGATGAAGGCAGCTTTTATTTTAATATGAACAAAATTTCAGACAAAAGAAAAAGCAATATAAATTTTTCAAACTCGAACTTTTCAAATAACACCTCAGATGTGTCCTCATATAATTTGATTCCCACGTATGAAACTAAGGGCAGTAATGTGGACAAAAAAATAAACCACCAAAATGAGAAGGACACAAAATTGAGGGAAATAAAACATAGCGATAGTGGTGCACAGCCGAAGCAGCAGCGCCACCACAGTAAGGAGAAAAAAGCGCAAAAGGAATTGGAACAGCTTCCAAGAAATGAAGCCCCAGAAAGTGACTCAAATTTCTACTACGATGAGAAAGCTTTTAACGTTTCGCACCTGAACAAGGAACATCACAGTTGCAAAAATGGTGCTCATTCTTCCGATGAAAAACAAAGCATAAAGGGAATGGTAAAAGGAAAAAGGGTGGGCGATAGAGAACGAGGCGAAGAATCAGATAAGTACGAACATGAAAGGGATACAAATGGAGGTACATACAAAAGTGGAAAAAAGTGCAAATTAAAAGGTGTAAGCGAAAATGTAGATTTAGATATAAACACACAGCCCTACGCGCGTGATGCAAAGTTTCCTGCAGACTTCCTCAACACGAACGAATCAAAATCGTTAGCAAACGAATACCTCACACAGAAGGAACGTGATTATTTGAACATGTCCAACTCTTTGTCCATTGAAAGCTTACGCGAAAAAGCAAGAGAAGAAATGCAGAATGACGAAATGGGAAATGAAAAATGTGATATAGCCGACACAAAGGGAAAGGACCAAATCGTAAGTAACTATGATGATGACGCGTATGGTGCAAAGGGATCAATCCAGACATCACTAAAAGATATACCCGAAATTAATACGTACCATTCACTAAACACTCTGTTACACAAAAAAAAAAAATATATAAACGGAAAACCAAATGAGAATTACGCAACATCAGAAATAACCACAACGGATTCTGAGTACTCGATAGATGAAAAACTCAATATAAATATGTCATATGAAGATTTTAAAAATAAGAAGAAGGAAAGTGAAATGCTGTCTGTTGTACAGGTCAGCAAAAGTAAAGAGAAGTTACTAAAAGTAGTAAATAGTAAACAGATTTTAAACATTAGGAAGCTGCTAAGAATAATGCGAGAATTTTATATAGGATTTATTGGTCTACAATTAATTTATTTTATAACGTATCTTCTCTTTGGTAACAATAGCGTCTACTTAATTCAAATTGTTTCCATATCTTGCACCTCCTTCTCCTTGTTGGATGCCAATTACCACGGCTACTTATTAAATGGCTTTATTGACCTCTCTGTTGCAATTTTTTTAAATATAGCTATTGTAGAAGACATTTCCGGTTTTAAAAGCTTAAAATCTAATGATGTGTTAAAAAATATAACCCTGTCGAATGTCGTTTTTTTGTACTTCTTTTCTGCGTTTTCGTTTTTGAATGGCTATTATATACACAAATTGCATTCCATGGAGAGAAGAAATATAAAGCATGTAATACGGAGCATTGAGTCGAAGGCGGATCAGGCTGTTAAAAGCGCCACGCTGGATGCCTCACCTTCCAAAAGTGTTCATTAGGGCGTTCTTAGCGTGCACGCGCAGGTGTGCTTTATACATACATATACACATGCATACGCACATGTATACAGACATATATATTTATGCATTGTGCAGTTGTTGACAAATGCAAATTCCTGAAACTGAAGAATAAAAATTGTTTGTTCCAACTACCTTAACCTTGCGTGGGCCTCTTTCTCCCCGTAAAAGTGTCTTATGCAACAACTATGTAACACCCTCCTATACCACGTGAACGTATGGGAAGAAAAATGTGCGCACATTTGCATACGTGTTGCTGCTTGTATTTTCATTCCTCTCCTATTTGTGTGTATTTTTCTTTGTTTTCCTTTGTTTTGTTTCGCTTTTTTTGTTGTAAGATTTAGCTTCGTAGTAGCCTTAAACCTTCCTTCCTACTGCACACAGGAAGAAAGAAACTACGCTTTGACGCAAGGTGCTTAAATGCAAAAGGAAACAAAGCTGTTGCATTTAAACGTCTGCAATAAAAAACATGCGCAGCAATGTGTACACTATGCATACGAAAATATTCCGCTTAGCCTTTTCGCATTTAATAAATGAACGTTAAGCAAGCTGTATTCAAATTTTGCCATGATATATTCTTTATCATTTCCGTTCAAATTGTAGTTAAATTTTGTAAAGGGGCATACTTTGGGTATTGCAAGATGTCGAAAGACCAGACAGAGTGATGGCAAAATTGGTTAAAAAAAGGAACAACACGGGTGAAGTTAATTACATAAAACGGGTTTACACAAATGCATGAATTCTTTTCGCACTTTTGGCTAATTAGCCCCAAAGCAGACAAAAGCACATTTCTACAAATGATGAAATTTTCCCTAGCATTTAAGCTTGATATTCCTGTTTTACCTGAACAAAAAAAAAAAAAAAATTTACATTTTT